GTCACATCAGCGATGGTTGCATCAACCGAAGGCGCAACACGAAACAATGACTGCTCCCCTTCGGCCCGAGCACAGTCGACGACAGTGTGATGACATAGTAAAAAGATCTATCTTAGGTTGGCATCGTGGGAACATGAAGCCAACACAAAAAATTCAATGGTGTACAACACGTCTCCAATTACCAGTTTTACTGTACATGCCGCAACAGGCTCAATTTGTTAGGCGCTCGTAGTGCTAAGAAAAACCACGGGAGAACGCATCGTCGCTTTACCAAGACAGCGGTGGAGTCTTTGACGGATCACAGATATTGTGACACCAGTATCGGTGAGCGCAAGTGTCCGAACACCTTCCACGATTATGTTAATACGATTTCCGGGCAACAGGCGAGGACCTAAACGAATAGACGGTCACGCAGCTCGTGCCTCCGGGGCTGCGGCAGTTAGGTTTCTGTCTCAATGAAAGTAGGTCGACGATGCATAGGTGATACAGAACGACGATGTGTTGAAAGGCAGGTGAGTGGGATGTAGAACGTCGGGAAGTGAAGGTTAGAGTACCGAAAGCAGCTTGCGCGTCGCGTTCACAACCTTCAGGTGGCACGTAAGGCACGCGGTATGTAGGCCTAAACGAGTAGTCACGATATCTTGGCGACTCCGGGTTCACTGCGAAGCACCGACGACATAGGCGTGCTACGTGACCAAGAATTCCCCAAAAGTAACATATCGGCCGGTTGTCAGCAGTGCGTGAAGGATTTATATATATCATAATACTTTATTCTGGCATGTGTACACAACAGTTACATGCCACCGAGATGAGGCAAAAGGAAACAGACGAAACTGTTTTTTGACTAGGCCTACAGCCCAGCTCGAAAACAAAAAAAAGGAGTGAGGCATATACTCGTGTGAACAGTTTCGTGAACAAAAAACCAAAAAAAAACAAAAACGAAAACAAGGACAGTGTTGAGGAAAGCGGAAAACATCCAGTACAGCACAATTCATCAGCATGACTGTAGAGAATACATGGAATTTCAAACAATTTTGCTATAGAAGTACGAAAACCTATAAAAACCATTTCATGTTGATATGTCCATCAGAATAAAGTTGTGAATAGATTTAATGAATGAAGAGGTGCAATAGTATCCATCATCATTCAGAATTCAAGTGGAGCTAACAATGTGCGCAGCTTAACAATTGAAATGCTGTGAAGTACAACCTGGTGAACAAAAGTATACATCGCAAGTGGCAAAACATATTGCATCAAGCACTTCATCCTGGATCGAAGAGTAATCCTACTTTCTTTTTAAAATGATGTACAGATCTGCTTATCTGTGATAATTCTACTACAGAAGGAAAACTGTTACATATACCTACTATTTGATGGTCAAGTGTTTGGGTACCATAATTTGTTCTAGATCGTGCTGAAAGAAGTGACGTCCTTCGTAAGTTATAATCAATGTGACGAGTGAGGTACATGTTGCTGAATGAAGCAAAATCTTGTTTTATACGATTATAAATAAGAACCATCACTTTAGTTTGTAGCATTCAGTGAAACACAATACACGAAAAACAGAAAATAAATTGCTATGTCTATGTCTATCTGGCCTTTTAGTTATTAGCTGTAATGCTTTTTCTTGCATGGTAATAATGTTTGTGCATTGGTCCTATTACATGTGCCCCAAACTAAGTTCGCAGTATATGAGGTGCGAATGAAAGTATAGCTGCTTTGCCACCGAATGTGGAAAAAGATGGTTAATACGGCTTATAACATCAATGGATCGAGCCATTTTCAGTTTTACATGACTCACGTGATCAGACCAGCTCAAGTCATTGCGGAAGTGTACGCCCAGAAACTTGCAGCTACTGGTACAAGTTATTTTTGATTTACCAAAATAGAGTTTTGGGTTGTGGTGTATTGCTTTGTTTTTAGCACGGAATAAAATGAAATTAGTTTTTTTCACGTTTAATCTCAGCTGATTCACCCTCAACCATCCCTCTAATTCTTCAAGCCAACTATTCGCTCTCTGCTCAAGTTCTTTTAGATTGGGACCAGAAAAGATGATGTTAGTGTTGTCGTCATATAAGATAATGATTGAAGATGAAGGAATGTTTACAATATCATTTATGTACACAGTGAATAGAAGGGGTCCTAATAGTGATTCCTGAGGTACTCCATATTTTGTTGTTCCATAGTTAGAGCGAGTGTCGTTATGAAGCTTTGTGTATTGTCGACGTGCAGTCGGGTAGCTTTTCATAAGGCTTCTTGCAATGCCACGAATTTCATAAATTTCTAATTTTGCTAAGAGAATGTCATGTTCAACCGAATAAAACGCTTTACTAAAGTCGAGAAATAGTCTGATAGTAAAGTGTTTCATTTCAATGTTTCGAATTAAGACATTTTTCATATAAAGCAATGCGGGTTCAGTCGATCTCCCAGGTTGAAAACCGTACTTATGATCACTTATCCCATTATTTGCGGAAAGGAAGCCAAAGAAACGTGTATAAATTATTTTTTCAGCAACCTTAGAAAAAAATGGTAGAACTGAAATTGGCCGGTAATTACCAAATTGTGTTTTATTTCCACCTTTAAAGACTACAGTAACACGTGCTATATTTAATCTATCTGGGAACATGTCAGTAGCCGAAAATCTGATTGAATGTATAGGTCAGTGGTTCTATAAGGCAACTAATGGAATTCCTAATTGGCAATGGTGAGATGTCATCATCACCAGGAGCACAAGTATTTTTTACAGAATTAATAATGGTTGTGATTTCTGCTCTGTTGTTGGCGTCAGAAATATCGAGTCATAGTTGGAAATCTGAATGCATGACGTAAGAGAGGTATTATTAGGCAAGGGAATTGAGCCGGCATATTTACCAGCTTCCAATAAGTGTTCATTGAATTTTTCGGCTAATGCAACACCGTCATAGATAATACCCTTAACCAGCATTTCGACGGGTGCTGTGTTAGCTTTGCTGCTGATGAGAGTTTTAATTCCTTCACAGATCTGCTTAGGATTGTTACCTATATTTGAAAACTTTTTTCTGTAAAATGACGACTTTGCCTTTTTTTAGATCAGCATTTAGCACATTACGAAACTTTTTGTATTCAGCTAATATCTCAGAACTTCTCATTTTAAGAGCATCAAGTTTTTTTTTCTTTTATTCTCATAAAAATGCCTTGTTTATGTAATCTTTACGGGCCTTTCTGTATTTTTGTATTGCCATAACAGGAAAAGTGACAGTGTAATGGTTAATAACCTTTATAATGAAATTTTCGTACGCTTCAATTGGATCAGGTTGCATCGTAGACGTCCGTCCAATCGGTTGTTTTCAGCAACTCACAGAAAACAGCGATATTATTGAAATCATTGAAATCATTTCTGGAGCGCTGCCGTGTAGCTGGAAACTGTTCTGTGGATGGTCGCACAGGTGGTGGGGTACACAATGGCAGATGACTCGGTGGTGTTGCCGCGACGCCCGCATAAGTCGGAGGCACGGCGACAGGTGTTGGTAGAGAGGCGGACGTCGGCAATGGCAACGCCTCGGAGACCTGCTCCTGAATAACCTCTCTGATTGTCGCCATTAGGCAGTTCTTTTGTGCTTTGGTGGCCAACAGTTACGGGAGACGCGAAGGCCGTCGAGCGGCCTTTTCGCGTACGTATTCTCTTATCTGCGCTAGCAAGGTGTTGTCTTCACCGATGGTCAGGGCAGCGAGAGAGTCGTCTGCTGTCGTCTACCTCCGAACTGATATACGTTGCTTGCGAAGTTCTTCCAAGCTCTGGCATAAGGCCACAAGTTTCGACACTGTACTTGAATCCTTCGCCACAAACATTTGAAACACATCATTCTCTGTGCGTTACAAGATATACTTAATCTTGTCTTGTTCGGTGACTTCGGGGCTCAAGCGCCGGCATAAATCAAGGACATCTTCAATGTAGCTCGTGAAGCTTTCGCCCTCCCTTTGTGCACGTCCGCGGTGGCGCTATTAGTCACAAAGTTTGCGCACTGTGATGCGGAGTGATCAAACACAGCCGCAAGCGTGGTCTTCAAAGCAGCCCAAGTGAGACATTCAGCGCGGTGGTTTCTGAACCACAAGCTGGCGACGTCTTTGAGATACTCCAACTTCGAGGAGTCATCCATATTGCTGGACCGCTAACTTTTTGAAACAGTAGCAGTCAGTCTTCCAAATCTTGGTCCTCGGTGCCACGAAAGAAGAGGCGATCCTACTCGCACAGGGTGGTAGGCATGATGGCCAGTGGAGATTGGGCCGCGCTTTGCTGGGCGGTGCCTTGCTCGGTGGTCTTATTAGGCACGGTTCACGCAGCGGGCAGTTTCAGGCTTCGAAGTTTCAGATTTAATGACCCAGTACACTTCCAGCAATTTTCAAGGGGGTTTATTATCGACGCCTGGTAGTAGGCAGACAGCCGGTACAGAAAGAAATACTCGGAACAGCTCAGCATCCCTAACTCATGCACGCCACTCACGCTTCGCAGCAAGATATGGTCCCACTGATCATTACCTAGCTAGTTCAGCACTACACTATACAGATCATTATCCCGGCAGTACCTACATTTAATCAAAAAGAAAATTTATATCTGAGGATCTTATTTTGTGACTGAAAGAAAAATTATATAACTGGATGTGCTCCTGTTTCAAAAAAGAAGTTTTGCACATTTGCAAATGGCCTTGGATTTCGTGGTATGAACAGTTGAATAAATAAAAACCTTTCAGGTCACAGTGTTTTAGAAGAGCTAGAAGAGTGTACGATAAACGCTGATTGACTGAGTTTAACCGTGTTACATCAAACTTTCATTTCTCTTCATGAAAAGCGAACTATTATATTCATTGAGTGAGTCTGTTTAGGTTGTGCATTTTTTTTCTTGACCTAAGCTCTCTTTAATTCCCTTCAAGCGTTTCCATGCACCGATAGTGATGAATCTGCGTCATGTTACACTGTCTGCAAATACCTCGAAAAGCAAAAGAATTCCCGTTCTACGTTCTCAGGTCGCGTGTCGGGCGACAAACCGCAAGGTCCATACCCGATAGTTGTGGATCGTGCAGCCGACTCCCGTTGCCTGGTGGTGCAGGATTTCTACATGGGCAAGTACATGGGCAACATTAGCATCACGTGGAATCAACGTGGCGAGGTTGTCCGCTGGAGTGGGCAGCCAGTGCTTCTGGACAGGAGCATCCCGGAAGGTGAGCGCATGAGCCCTTGCCGATATGTTCCTGACATTGCTAATCAATCATCTTTTGGGCAAACGGGGCCAAACATAACATGTCCTAAATAATTGTCACAATATACCTGGCGTCCCATATTTGCCTCAGCTGTCGGGAGGCTGTCGCGATATTTAGTCCCACAAGAGCTAGGAAGTAAGAAGTGAGTTAGAGACGGGAGAGAGAGTGAGGAACTGCGCCATTTTGCAAAGCGGCGGTCCCGTACATCATATAATAATCATTTTTGACGGGACCTTGATGTAAGTATGGAAGTAACAAATCAATTCCGATCTCTTGAATGATTAGATTCTGCATGCTGGTTCTGATGGCGTTTTTCTCAGAGTTTCATTTTGACCCACTTTAACTGCATGGGGACTTTTATGAAAAAAATCTTGAGGCCAGTCAAGTCTGTCTCGCTCGTGAACATGCTTATAAGGGAAACAAAAAAAAAACATGAGAAGGAGACATACATTCGCGAGCCGAGCCACTTACAAAAGGTCACGGGCCGAGTCTTACGAACCCCTGCAATCAGCGCTGAGAATCAAAAATTTCTAATGAAGTTTTTATTATGTAGATACTATTGGCTAGACGACTGAAACAGGGTTGGTTTCAAGTAAGACTAGTACAAACGATGTGTTCTGTAACCACACTTACAAAAAAAAAATTGGCAGATTCCACGTACAGTGGGAATCGATTATATGCGAAGCCCGAATGAGGAAGGTTGATATGTCACTTTAAGAACACCACAACTTTACGAGGTGAGAGGTAAATTATGCCGTACATAACTTCAATATCATGATTATCATGTTCGGACGTTTCATTTACCTTCGTCTTCTATCCAAGTCACGTGATACTAAATTTTCTACTTGTGGAGCTAGCGAAAGGGCCGTGCACGCATCATGAGCATGGTATGTTTTCATGTTCTTACATAACACGCGTGTCATTTTTATCATGTTTCACCAGTCATATACCTTGGTCATTCATTGACGTCCCGTAACACCTAAATTGGTATATGTGAAGCTAGCTAAACGGCAGCGAGCGCATTTTGAAGGGCCCAGTGTACGACATAACATTGACGCACGCGCACGCTGGACGCAGCGACACCACGCTAGCGAAACCCACGCGTGGCCACGCGACCAGCGTCTGTCGGCGTGGCCCGGCGGCAACCGGCGCGAAATGCGACATGTGGTATTTCGTGCCAACGACGCTACTCAGACAGCACCGCGTCTGCCTCTCTCCGTGACGGAGGCACTCTAACGGAGGGACGCAGGGTGCGCTCAAACACGCATGCGTCAAAGCAATTCAGCATGGCTCGCGCCTTCGTGTATATGGCAGGCCAGCGGCGCTTGGCGACGCATCGACGGCGTGAAGTGACCAAACGAACGCCGGCGCGCACGCGTGCCGGTTCACGTCAAAGTGTATTGGCGCCTTGAGTGTGGCATTGTCATGTTCTGACACGACACTCAACTCATAATTATCATGTTTTCACCAGTCACATACCTTCGTCATCCATTCGCGTGACGCGATACCAAATTTGGCATTTGTGAAAGTAGCGAAACAGCCGCGAGCGCATCATGAGTGTAGCATGTAGTCATATTGTTGCATGACACACATGTCATGATTATCATGTTTAGACGTGTCATTTACCTGTGTCACCCGTTCGCGTCCTGTAATAACGAATTTGATACGTGTGAAGCTAGGGAAACAGCCGTGAGCGCATCATCAGCGTAGCATGTCTTTATGTTGTTACATGACACGCATCTCATGATTAACACGTTTGCTCCAGTCACATACCTTCGTCATTCATTCACATCCCGTAATATCAAATTTGGTATTTGCAAAGCCTAGTGAAACGGCCGTGAGCGCATCATAAGTATGAGATGTAGTCATGATGTTACGTGATACACATCTCATGATTATCATGTTTGCACCAGTCACATACATTCGTCATCCACTCATGTATTGTAATGCCAAATTTGGTATATGTGACGCTTGCGATACGGCCGTGAGCGCATCATGAGCGTGGCATGTAGTCATGTTTTTACATGACATGCATGTCACGATTTTCATGTTAGGGTCTGTCACTTGTGTTTGCCATGCAATCATGCCATACCATAACAGTTTTGCAACATGCCATGTGAATGATGAAACCACTGCAAGAGCTGCAGGACCACTGAAATGTAAATCAGTGACATTGTTGACACATATGTCATGATTTGCATGTTATGACTAGACAAATATCTTCTTCAACAGTAATGTTATGCCATACCTAGTTTGGTATCGATAGCATTATCGAAACGGCCAGGAGAGCTAAAGGTCGTAAGCGGCTAGATGGCTAGACGGACGGACGGACGGACGGACGGACGGACGGACGGACGGACGGACGGATGGACGGATGGATGGATGGATGGATGGATGGATGGATGGATGGATGGATGGATGGATGGATGGATGGATGGATGGATGGATGGAACGGACGGACGGACGGACGGATGAATGGATGGATGGATGGATGGATGGATGGATGGATGGATGGATGGATGGATGGATGGATGGATGGATGGATGGATGGATGGATGGATGGATGGATGGATGGATGGATGGATGGATGGATGGATGGATGGATGGATACGCTCAAATTGGCCGAAGTTTGCTAAGAAATGCTTCGCATTTGAAAGGCAGATGTCCATGGTGTTTGTTACGACCGATGCCTGGGCCAATGAGGAAGCGGCGTTCTTCATCAAAAAAGTCGCCGTATGGCGGCCGGCCTATGCCCACCATCTATTGTCCTTCCTAGCTGGAAAATTAGGCGCCGTGCCGCCCGACGCCGTAGGATGTTGTACGAGCCGAGTACAGTGGTTTTCTCGGTCGCAACGCGTTGCTCGAAGCGACAGGGGCGTCAGCCCCGACGACAGCTTGCAAGGCTGATCGAGCGAGCACTTCGCCAGACTCTTTGGAACTGTGGCGTCTGCCAAGCCAAACCAAGCCGCGAGGCAGCGCCTTCCGCTGCTGCTCCGCTGCTCTCACGATTCTCCAGAGAACCCGAATAAAACCAGCTAATATTTTGGATCCACGCCGCGCAGTCATGTCTGCTTCACCCGCGCGTACACGCGTCCCAACAGAACTTTGCTGCGCCAGTTCCTTTTGATCAGCCCTCTCGTCTGGCAATGAGACCCCTACTGCAGCGGCACTGATATGACAAGGAAGAGTCACGTCAGTGCCACAATGCAGTCCAGTTACCATGTCCCAATAGTGGATGTTTACTTGGGCGGGTGTGGACGTCACCCCGGCAAGTTGTGTGTGACATTCAGTAGGGTTGAGAGTTGGGCTAGTTGGTGAGACATCATTTAATCATATGGTGTAGTAGCGCGAATTCGACGGGGACGAAGAGGACAAGAAAACACGACACTCGCTACACTCGCAACTAATTTTTATTTCAGAAGCAGCACTTCATATATAACCCATAACCCTAGCGACACAGAAAAGAACTACGAACACTGAATCATTGCCAACAGAAGCTTTTGCGCAGACTCAAGCGATAGTACACGGCAGTTAAGCTTAGACACTTTTTAAATGACATAACTAAAAACAGCCCTGGGTAACATCAAATCAAAAAAACAAACAAAAAATTTTTGCGGGGATTCACACGGGTCGTTGTTCACGGGTTGAATTCACGGGTCGTTGTTTGAACACCCGACTTTCAGAACACAAGCGATCATTAGGAACTGACATTCATTCTCACATAAAGAGACACTGTTCCCAGTGTGGCTGCTCACCATTGTACAGTGACACAACCGTAGTCTTCCGTCATGGAAACCAACTAACCAGAGAAATTGTCGAAGCCTTTCACATTAAAAAAAGAAAAGAAGGATGCATTAGTCAGTCATCGGTTTCGTTAAGTAACCGAGAAGCCAGCTACCTCGAAGGACTTAATTGACATCAGTGTTTGCATGTGTCATACTCTCCTTCTTGTGGTTCAAAATTTTGTTTCAAACACGTGTGAATTCCCGCAAAACTTTTTTGTTTGTTTTTTTGATTTGATGTTACCCAGGGCTGTTTTTAGTTATGTCATTTAAAAAGTGTCTGAGCTTAACTGCCGTGTACTATCGCTTGAGTCTGCGCAAAAGCTTCTGTTGGCAATGATTCAGTGTTCGTAGTTCTTTTCTGTGTCGCTAGGGTTATGGGTTATATATGAAGTGCTGCTTCTGAAATAAAAATTAGTTGCGAGTGTAGCGAGTGTCGTGTTTTCTTGTCCTCTTCGTCCCCGTCGAATTTGCGCTACTACACCATATGGTTAAATGTGTGTGACATCTTATTGGGCTCTGCAATGTGCACCCATTCCCTGATCTAGGGATTTAGGGAAAACGTACACTTCATAATTAGCCATCCCACTCATTCAAGCGTTCGTTAGGTACCGAATGTAAATAAACCCTCTGTTAAATTCACCTTCCTGCTGCCTCGGCATCTGCCTCCCGTGTGCAAAGACCGGTCGCAACAATGGCGAAGGTGGAAGTCAGAAAAGAAGAATGCTTACGGGGTGTCACTGTAGCTGAGGTTTGGAAAAGCACGCTTGTCTTCAGTTGCAGCCTTGACGAAGAGAAATTTCCTCGTCTAAACGTAGGCTCAAATGACACCCCACGTTCGGGATATTTACTTCTTTACACTTGCAACCATAAACTTACGCAACAACACAAAAGCGTAACCTTAAAAATAACTTCAACTCTATAATGATTTCAATGATTGTGAAACGCTAACTATGCATAAATATTCTTTCAAATTCACAATATCTGCTGTATTCTCAGTTACTAATCTCAAAAAACCTCTCTGAAGCAATACATTTCCAGGCAGAAAGAGTGGAAAACATCACACTCTTTTCAGGATGCAAGCATGCGAAAAAAAGAGACGCCCTGATGAACGCAAAGTAAATGAGCGATGGACAAAGAAAGGGTTCGAGCTACTGATGCAAAATATATTGGCGCGGCTAAAAAGTACGGAAGCGGCCACGAGGCTCAAAACGTGTTCAGTGAACAATGTTCCAAACAATTTTTAGGTTTTCAATTCAACGTAACTATCAACCTCATTTCCGGTAACACAAACAGGCAAGTACATAACTGAAATATGGGCCGATCGCACAGTAGCGCTGCGTGCAACAGAGCATAATGTTCTAATTCGTCTACATAAACAGACGTTTATAATCTTTCTTGTGAAATCACCTGTGATATAGGCAGGCTTAGATTCACATAGTTGCCTTGCGTCTTCAATAAAATATACTGGTTCACGTTGTATTTTCAAGGTAGAAGCCTTAAGTGCTCATCGAACGCGAAAATTTACTATAGGCTTGGGCGTCAACACAAGTTATCATCATCGCGTGACATCATCGTCATAGATCTGTGGCATCACCATGGCATCCCATGAAGATGTCATCGCATGGCGTCGTACCTTGGTAGATCTTGGAAGGATGAAAACCCACCTTGGAGATAAATGGGAAGGACCAGTCCGTCGACTGTTAATAAATGTAACACGATGACATTTGCCTTCTCGGCATCTCAGGTAGATCGATTCTGGACGTTACTTTTTTTTTGTTCTGACATTTCTCGATTCGCCAGTGTCCTTGTTGCACTTGAAGCTATTTTTTTCATCTTCCGGCAGCAGTATTCATGAAAAATTGTAGTAAAGCATAGGATCATTATTGTTGCGCTATAAAAGACTGAGACATGTGAGAGACCGGACAGGCGCTGTCCTGTCTTTCATATGCGTTCAGCTTTTTCAGCACGAAAATCAGGATGTCCCGTAATCACCAACTCACCCAACAACCAGTTCTTCAGCAGCAGAGCAGACCCACTGGTCGATTACGACGGTAACTCGATATCAGGGCTTGTTCGGTGCACTTCACAGTCCACACACAGTCCTTTTTCAGTCCTTCACAGTCCTTTTTGCGCCGGCATTCAAATAAAACTACTATACATATAAGCTTTTGACAAGCTCTTACAACCAAAACTTACAAAGCGTCAGACACTTGCCCTTTGAAGGTATTCCACTTATGCAAATGTTAAGTGATTCGGCAGTTATGAAGCACAATATCTAGCGACGATACATTTACCGACCCATTTCTAAACTCGTCCAGCGCAAGGCAAAATTATGAGGCGTGTTGCGTGAGAGTGATGAAATTCGCATAGTTCGCAATCCACATGTGAAAGTTCAAATATATTTACTGTTAGCTTAGTTAATTATGAAACTATTATACACTAGTCGACTTTTTTCAGTGGTACATTAGACGGAAATATTTCAACAAAAAATTTGTTGAGAATGCATCAATGTGCCGAAATGTTCCAGGTAGAAAGATAATACGCCTTCAATATCCAGGGATTTCGAGAAAGTTTGCAATAATTGAAAAACGGGCTTCACCTGTGAGTATCCCACATCTTCTAAGGTGGTTTCGCACTACCTCCGTGATCAGAAACACCTTCAATCAAGAATACCGTGTAACATGATGAATTTAAAGTGATGTCTTCTAGTTTGGCTATTCTGTGACGTCGAAGAGTCATTTGATGGCATCTTGACGTCATGATTTTTTTCATTGCTGGTATTCTCCCGACGCCACGTGACGGTGACAGTCACTTTTAGCTTTTGATGAGGTACTCAAAAGTAGATTTGAGATAACCTTTAGCGGCGTGTTGTGTGTATCGCAATTAATGCAGGCTGAAGCAGAGCGCGGAGCCAGTTCCCGACCCGTCAACTAACGAAGCTGATCGGTTCCGCGAAAGCGAACACGGGAGACACGCACAGGGGAAATAAAGGAGAGTCCTTCGTTCACACGGTTCACGAGCGGAGCCGTCAAGGTCACCCCTGTTTGGGACTAGAAGGGGAAGGCTTACTCGGCAGAGCGTCTGGCAAGAAGCAGGTCAGGCGCCGCCGTCCGTGTTTAAGCCATTGTTGGCATGTACGCACGTCATTGAGAATGACGTGGGGATGCGACCACTGGCTGACCGAGACATAGTGGCGGCACGGACACGAGCTTACCCTCCCCCGCTATACGTCATTATCGAGTGTTCTTAGGATGGTGGGGCGCCTCGCTGTCGCATGCACACCTCTGTCAGCGCGCAGGGCCATACGGTGTAATCTCCGCGCTTACGGAAGCTTCTACGAAGCGACGGTAATGAGAAAGTTGATGGAGCCCGAGCGTGAGAACGGCTACCGACAGAGATCAGGCCGATACACGGCCTGGCATGGGAGAGAGTGTGACACGTGGACAACCTATCCCTTTGCGTGTTGTATTTGGCAACGTGGTTTTTACGAATGCAGTGTCTATTATGAAAGTGTTTCTGCAATTGGTTGTGATGATGCAAGCCCCAACGTGTGATTGGCTTGTGTGAAGACCCTTTGTTGAACCGAGTGTTGAAAAGAGGATGTTTGAATCTGAAATAAGTGGGAGGTTCGGGCTTGGACTCGGGCAGACGCCTGAGGTTGCAATAAAGCGTCTCTTCACCAGACGACAGCTCTTCCTTCGTGCTGCCACCGTGCACTCGAGTCATCGAGAGGACCCATTCCGAACCTCAAACATCTTCCCTCCTTAGCTAGTGCAGAAGCTAGTCGAGGACGAGGAAATAGACTGTAAGATTTTTTCCTAAAAAAGTATCACGTGACAGTCTGAATGCGTGAAGCAGCGTTAGTGCCCTGTGACTCGTAAACGTATGATTGGTATTGCACGTGCACCCTATAGCGCGCAAGCCAAAGTGGCATACGCCCCGCTCGTTACCTAAGGATGTATACGACTAGCCAATTGCATGACACGCTCTATGTCACTTATCAAAGCGCTGATAGGGCGTCAAGATTCATTCTTTATTGCATTTCTTCGATTTATTCGTTTCTTCAACGTACGAGATATAACTGGGTAAAAGTGCGTCTATGTAAAAAATCTTCACGTGTTCAGCGTCCATCGTCGCTTGTACAGATCCCGATGGTATTGCGCTTCTGGACCGCTACCGCGACCAGGTCGCTCAAAGCCAAGCATCGGTAGTGGCCGAAAGCAAGGTGCTGCTCGATGGGGACAAGAACAGGTGTCGCCTAGAGGAGTGCAACCTCGGCAATCTTGTCATGGACGCCTTCCTGAAGAAGATGGCATCGCTGCCAAGCCCGCAGGCTAGCTGGACAAGGGTGGCCGCGGTCATCGCCAATGCCGGGGGAATCAGAGCCTCCATCGATGAACAGGTATTGAAAACGACATGTTTTACTGCGAAAGCCATTGTATCATCGCATTAACAGCTCATTTTGTCGCTACGGTTCTCCACCTTCGCCAGTGTCCGTAACCGCTCTCGAGCGCAGTGAAAAAATATTATACATGATTTGACTGGATTCAAATCCAAAATCTTTGCGTGGCAGTAGAGTATTCTACCACAGTGTCAATCTTCTGTTAGGAAATTGTTGGCAAAAACATCCTACACTATCTTTATGTCGGGCAAAGAATCTCGTGTGCCGATGGTATATATCGTGGTAGAAAAGTAAAAGAACAACCAGGCATCAAAGAATGTGAAGTGCGCAACAAATGGGTGGTTTGATCTCCCCACTCATTTAAAATTGCTGAATCATATATCTCGCGCAAAGCCTGGCGTGACTAACAAACTTTTTAAAAATAATTTTTTTATCTCTCTCACCACATTCAGCAAAACCACTAACAAGTGCACGCCGTTCTTTACAGATTGGTAGTGAGTAGCTTGCCTCTCCACAGATTGATGAGTAAAGACTTAGTGGGCACTTGCGAAGTTATTAGGATTCATTGCCTAACAGCCACTTCACAACTGTACTTGTAGCATAGTCACTCAAGGACAGCTTACAAGGGCTCTATAAAGGCCGCTTTTGCAGCATTCACTGTAACTGTGCAAGGTTTTCTGCCATAGCCTTTGTTTAGGATAAATATAATTAGGCAGGGAACGGACACTCTTTACGTTCTCTAAACTCCGTTCTATTTACCAATGAATATGGCCACAGACTCTTAAAATCAGTGCAAGGACAGTGAAAAAATTTGAGGCTAAACCCAAAATATCAGACAAAAAACAGTGAAAATCACTTTGCTGCTAAAGTAGTCGTATATCACACATGCTCGCTACTATAAAGATTACAATGCAACATCGATTGTCAGCTACGCTAATCTCATTTCCATGGAAGCAATGTGCAAGAATGCCTATTTGCATAGTTTGATGTCACTGCTTGGAAAGCTCTGATGACCAATAGAAATTCTGAGTTCCAGTCTTGGGCGTGTTTTATTAAATTACGGATGCGTGCGCGTCATCTTTTTTTCTTCGTTCTCAGTGAGAGGTTTTAACCGGCTTAAGTTTTAACGTGCGTTATTGCATCAAAACAGTCACTTCTGCTTTTGCCGAGCATACAGTTGGCACAAAAGTATTCTAAACATACATTGTACCTTGATTCATCGGTACTTCTGTGAGTTCTCTATTGTTTTATAACGTTGCTTAAGAGAGACAGACAAAGAACTAAAGAGGAAAGCCTAAAAAGTAAGGAGGTATAAGCATACGGTTTGACACCATGCCCTGCAGCACAGGAACTGCAAAAAGGGTGAGAGAGAGCGTGCACGCAAAATACACATGCAAGCACACACACACACACACGCACAGGGTGAACAAAAGATGCGAACAGTAAGGTGGCGAATGAAATGGAGTTCCTATTTTTCGCTTGAAGCAAACAGCTGACAAGCAAGTGCATTTGTTCTAACGTCCCCCAACTAGAGTGAATGAAAGTAAGGTGTGAGTATAGTAGACTCGGGTATTCAACCAACCCGCACTCGTTGCAGTTCAACATCGCCAAGCCGACAACTACAACGTCGTCGCATTAATTGGCATCTTCAGTTGCATCCATTCGGTTACGTAGGCATCTGGACAATGTCGGAGTACTTGTAAGGATGTCGTGAGAACGGTGGGACATTCTATTAAATATACACTTCACAACTCAATAAAACGGTCTGTGTGCTAGAAAGACTGATAAAAAATCAAATATGGCTACGCTTAACGAGGTCAGTGCAGCGCATTCACTTGGACCTGTACTAAGATTTCTTCATTGTGTTGTGGCGTCAGACCACGTTGCTTCATCGAAGGCGAAAGGTTGCTGCCCGTGTACCTCCTCAATCCCATAGACACAAAGGATTTCACTAGCGAAACAGCTCTGGGTGCAAGCATCGAACCTCTTCGGCAAACCACACCAGATTCACTTCAAGTTGAAGAGCCCTGTCCAGCGAGCCCGAGGGTAAAGAAGGGCACTGCTTATGTGTAGACAGCCTTTCCAAAAGGTGCCTAGCTTAGCACATTACCACTCTGGGAATTACTGGGCAGGCCAATTCCATTCTGGCAATTCCTCAACGTAGGGAAGGTAATACTTATTATTTTATTATTTAAAATACTGTCAACCCTCTATTGAGGGTCATTACAGGAAAGGTACGACACACTGTACAAAGAAATCGGGAATATAACTATACATCTCCCAATGATAAACCAGGTATACATATATACAAATCCTTGGAAGTTCTTCATTTCAAACGAAAAACACACACCCTGATTTGCAATGCAACGAATAACAATCGCAATAATATTTGCAACAAATCACATAAATGTAAAGCATGTAAATGCACAAATTCATTAACATCACCCTCATTGACCATGTTACTCGGTAACCCATTCCAATCTTCACTGACATCGGCGAAAAAAGTATGACGGTACGCCTTCGTTCGTGCAAAATAAGGGTGCAGTTTTCGTGTCTGGTTTGCCCTCTCGCTTCGTTTCCCAGGTTGTTCTATGTAGTCATTTCTGTTAATTTTAAACTCACCTTCTAATAATTGAAAAAGAAACTTCAATCTATTTTTGCGTCTGCGCTTGTGGGGCGTCTCCAGATCACATAGTTGTAGCGTTTCGGTGACTGAGTCGTTCTGCTTATATCTCGAGCATATAAAGCGAGCTGCAAGCCGTTGTATGCGTTCAAGTTTATTTACAAGCACTTTTGGGTGGGGACTCCTGACAATACCGACATATTCCAGTATCGGCCGTATGAAAGTTGTAAAAGCAAGAAGTTTTACGTCCATACTAGCACCCTGCAGTTTTTTTCTAATATGTACAATTTTTGTGAGGCCCTAGAGCAAACATAATCGATATGTGTGTGCCACTTTAGGTTATGCGTTATTGTGAGACCTAGGTACCTAAACGCATTAACTGTCAACAAGGTGTGATTCCCGATACCGTATTCAAATGGAATTATCGTTTTTTTCCTAGAAATGTGGGTGACGGTAGATTTCGAATAAATGATTTCCATTCCCGAAGCTTCACACCATGAGTGTAATTCCTTTACACATTCGGCAATGTTCAATTGGTCCTTCCTACCAGTCACTCGCGCGTAAATGAAACAATCATCAGCAAACAGTTTGAGCTTAACATGGGGTTTTCCGATATCTGTGATATCATTGACATATATCAGAAACAATAAGGGCCCAAGAACCGAGCCTTGTGGAACCCCAGAAAACACTTTTAGTGAGCTAGAGATAGAGTTATCAATTTTCACGATTTGCTTCCTGTCATTTAGGTAGGCTTTAATCCAATTAAGTAAAAGTTGACTTAGTGCAGCGCAGTGAAGCTTATACAGTAATCTGTCATGAGGTACCTTATCGAAGGCCTTAGCGAAATCCATGCAGATGACATCAATTTGTTCATTCATATCTAAAGCTGTCGCGAAGCCATGAATAGTTTCGATAAGCTGTGTTGTAGTCGAATCTTTACTCCTAAAGCCATGTTGATAAGGACAAAAGCCATTTTTATTTTCTAGGAATGTGATGACATTCTTGACAATGACATGTTCCAATATTTTGCAGCAGATAGATGTGAGTGATACGGGACGGTAATTATTGGCGGACAACCGATCACCACTCTTAAACACAGGGACAACTACAGCTGTGCGCCAGTCGAATGGCACTGAACTAGTACAAATAGATTTTTGAAAAATAACTTCTAAGTAGTAAGATATCTACTCCACATAATGCTGCAAAAAAGGGGTGGGTATTTCATCAGGTCCGCATGCTTTTTTGGAATAAAGAGACAGTAGACTATTCAATACTCCTTCTCGACTGAATCTGCGCCTTGTAAAAGCTGACTGAAAAAAATGCTAAGACCATCTGCAATATCAACATTCTTCGTCACGATTTCATTCCCACGTTTCAGCTGGTCAATTTTATCGCGCCGATCGGACTTATAAAGCCAGAACTTGCGAGGTGAATGTTTAATAAAAGAACTCAACTTTTGACTAAAAAAAGCGCGCTTAGATTCCAACAAGTATTTCTTCAATTCTTTTCGTACACGTGCTATATCCTCGGAGTCATGGTTTCTTTTCCTCCGCAGCCTTTTTAATTTTGCTTTTTGTGAATAATATCTCGTGTTATCTACAGATTGCGCTTTTTAGTCTGTTTTACTCTACTAGGAACGAATTTGTCGGAGCAATATTTAATAATATCTTTAAAACGTTGCCACAATCCATCAACTGTTTGGCGCAAAAATGCGAGCTCAAAATGACCTAATGAATACCCCAGCATGTCAAGAATTGAAGTGTCATCCGCGTTTGTGTAATGTTTTACTTGCACGGTCTTATAGGTTCTAGCTCGTGAAACACTCAGTGGAATAGTAACAGAGGCCAATCTATGATGAGAAATTCCCTCATCAACACGGTTATTATAATTGAACAATTTGTTTGAAAGGAACACCAGGTCCAACACTGACCGAGACGAAGATGTCATCCGTGTATATTCGCGCACTATTTGGGTTAAGTTACCAGCGAACATGAATTTCTAACATCTTTTCTCCACTATCAATCTCGACGTGTCCGGGCAAAAAAACGTCCCAGTTAATGTGAGGCAGATTAAAGTCTCCAGTAAGAATTAGCCTGGTTTTTCCATTTACATGGGCACACAGGAAGTTATTCAATTTATCAAGATAGTCTGTTGCTGTTGCGGGTGGTCTATACACGACAACAAGAAGGTATACTGTGTTAAAAAGGCTTATTTTACACCACAGTGTTTCTGGTACATTGCTTCGAACATGCGCGGCCACAACAGAGTTTTTTTACTATGATAGCGACCTCACCCCCTCGCGAAGTCACTATCAGACCTAAAGATTTTGTAGCCTTCTGGCACAATGCAGTTATCAGGGACACAACTGTGTAGCCAC